ATCACATGGGAAGAAAGAAGAAAGATCATAGGATAGGCGGGGAGAGGGTGGTGGTTCTGTTCAGAGGACCAAAATGTGTGCCAAAAATGAGAAAAAAGGCTTATTGGTACACTGTCTCCATGGCACAGTGCTAAAACGCTGCTCAAGAGAAGCTGGATCCTGTGTGGTGACTATGGTTCAAATCCCCAGCCCGGTCAGCCTGAAACACACTGGAAATGTGTCTGAGTCCTAAGATCTGTTGGTCTGGATGAGCAGATGTGTGACCAGACCCTGAGAAGGGCACTCTCTCTTCCTCTCACATGCTCACATGCATATACTCTATCATGTATAAAGGAAATAATAATAATGATAAAGACTTATTAGTTCTCCCTTGGGAGAGACCTGGGCACCTTGGCCTGTGGTGAGCAGGTTCCTGTTAGAACAATGAAGGCCTGAGTGTACTGCCACCTCACCATGAAGACCAGGTCCCAGGGAGCCCCAGGGACCTGGCAGCGCTGAGCAGTTTGTCTCTGGCTTCTCCTGAGGTGCTCAGTTGGGACACTTGGAAATAGAAACGTGGGGGCCTTCTCGGTGGAGGTCTGGGTAGCTCCTCCACAGTGCTTACGTTCAAAGGCTCCGGAGGTGTGAGGCTGGATTCCCCCCAACCAGAAACATAATTGGGAGAACTTGGAGCACTAACTGCTGCAGAAGGACTTGCGGAGCATAGAAAGCTGACTTACTTCATACATGATCAGACTGTGATCCTACGTTTTCACCCACCTAGCCCATAATGTGGGAGACATTCCCACAGGTTCCTATTTAGTATAGTTTTGCATATTTAACAGATGTTTGTGAAAGCCTACCTCAGTATTTTTAATGGGTTAAAGTATTTTAGGGGGTGGAGTAGATTGCCAGGATGGGAACCCTGGTTTACATCCTTGTGCTATGGGAAATAACCGTTGGGCTAGCCGCCATTGTCCAGGAACCCCCTCTCCTCTCCTATTTGAATCCTGTTATACTTGAGTTAAAAAAAAAAAATATTATTTAACAAGTTTGACTTGAAAACAGAGCTAAATTTAAAATAATTAACGTGGTTCCTAGAAGAGATTGCATCAGCCACCTCAGGGCCGCAGCTCCTGCCAGGCCCCAGGAGCCTTTGTTTTTGACTTCCTGGTTTCTCTCAACTGACCTTTTGGTGTTTTTTTTTTTTTTCCCCTTCAGTTTTTTTTTTTTTTTTTTTTTTTTTTTTGCCATAGGGCATGTGTGCTCACAGAAGAGAGACAGAGTAAGACCCCCAAGGGGGAGGGCCATGCCACAATCCCCTCCTCTATTCCTCCATTCTCCTTTCAAGATTTCAGGCATGCATGCACATGTGCCCAGCAATTTTTTCCAAGCCAATGGATCTGACACTTAAACTGCAGGTTTGGCCATGTGGGACCCTCTCCTTAACCATCATACCACCTGCTAGCCCCCTTTTGAAGATTTTAAATGGAGACCAAACAGAATAAAACTAGAGCCAAGATGCTCAGGACCAGGCATGTTGAAAAGGCGCTGATCGCTTATACTAGTCCTTTTCTTCTCCTCACCTCTTTATGTGCACACAGATTCATCCCAACTCCCCCACCAGGTGCTGGAGGCTCTCCACCATCTGGTGCAACTTGGAACTTGACCTTGTAATCCTTGGGTGCAGCCCAACTCCCTTGTCTCTTCCATTCTTTGTTTACATACTCCAGCACCTGCTCAGGCTGTGCCCATTCTGATCTGCTGACCCTCAGCCACTCCCCAGCCTCTAAAATTCTATTCTGTTTTCTGCTCTTCTGAATCCTACATGCATCGCAAACATTCCTGGACCACTTTAGTCCACACACTGAGTTAGCCACAAATTAGAATGTGTGCTCTAAATGTAATCTCTCTGAGGAACAATCTTCATCTATTTTGCTATCTGTTTTACTGCAGAATGAAGCCAGATACATAGTAGGACCTCTTTAAAAAAAAAAAAAAAGTGAAAATGCCATATGATATACATGAGTTTATTTCACAAACATCTTTTAACAAGATGGTGAGTGGCTGTTTTGTCTCATATGCACTTAGCTCAGAATGTACTCAGTCTAGCACTGGGATGGTCCATCCATGCTTTGTAGTAGAAATAAAGACAAACTTGGTACCAGCAGATGGCAAAATGGTTACATTGCTGGCCTCTCATGTAGTCAACTGTGGTTCAAGTCAACTGTGGCTTGAAACTAATGCCAGTCGCTTGTGCCTGTTTGCTCGAAGTCCTAAGCGGATAATGGAGGGGAAGGGATTGTGGCATGGCCATAACCCCTGGGATGGGGGGGGATTCATTGCTTTCTGTCTCTGTCTCTCTGGGGAGCACACACACCCTATAGCAAAAAAACTAAAAAGAAATAAGGACACATTCTAGGAACTCAGGTATGGGAGGTTGGAGGCTAATCTGACTTCTTAAACGTTTTGCAGTGACACTGGATATGGGTATTTGGTTGGACACCCCATGGCACTCTTTGCTTTCCCAAGAACCTGCCCCCTTTTTTGTTTGTTTTTGTTTTTTAACAATCCTGGTAATCATATTCTCACCACAATGAGCTTTTTAATTCTCTTTAATGATAAGCTTGTGTTTCCCTCAGAGGGCAGAAAGGGAGACTGCTGAATCATTGTGGCCATCTGAAGGAACTTTTTCCTGTTTATAATGAAGTAATACATGCTAATTGCAGAAAACTAGAACATATGTGGAAGTAGAGAGAGAAGACTGGAATCAATGATTCCAGTCTTGAAGTCATTAGAAATTATCATTTTTTAAAAAAAGAGTTATTTATTTAATTTTATTTGCTAGTATTTATTTATTTATTTTAATTTGGCTAGACAGGGACAGAGAGAGAAAGGGGCAGTGAGAAAGCAAGCTGCCAGGTCTAGGACTCAAACTGCAGTTGGTCATGTAGGAGTCCAGCACCCTAACCCCAATGCCATGTGCTGGTCCCAGAAGTGATCACTTTTGACAGCATATTTTTTTATGTAATGTTATTATGTCACTGGGATCCAAATATAGGTTGTCTATTTATAACTTTTTATTTGTCACCACTCCTCCTCTTGGCTTTATACAGTACATTCTTATCTCAATATTTGAGAGTCTCACAACACTTTCTTCTCTACGTTATCTTACAACAAAAATGAACAAAAAATCCTTTTTGTTATTATTTTTTTTTTTAGAGGTTTTCACTATAGGGTGCATGCGCTCGCCAGACAGAGAGAGAGAGAGACATAGAGGCAGAAAGGAAGAAATCACCTCCAGGAGGGATGGTCACGCCGCAATCCCTTCTTCTCCATTCTCCTCGCGGGATCTTGGGCACGCACGCACGTGCGCCCGGCGTGAGTTTTAAGCCACCGGGTCTGGGACGCGAACCGTGGTCGACTACGTGGGAGTCCAGCGACATAGCCATTACGCTAACTGCTGGTTCCCTGTTATGTTTTTTTCAACTCCTTCTTTCTGTCTGAATGTCTAATGATAGTAGCCAGCATTCTATCTAGCTGGGCTCCTTTAGTCTCTTGCCATTTACCCAAGCTTGCCCCCTACTTCCCTCTGTCACTCCTATTCCCCCCTGGACTTTGGCCTTTTCTGCCCAGGCTAGCCTCAGAGAGCACCCACACGCTGTCCTTCCTGTCAGATGCCAGCCCATCCACACTGGTGGACATTCTATTCCATTCATAATTCCTTACGGTGTTTCATAATTCCTTGTGGTGTCCCCTTTAGTGAGAGTTCCCTTCTAGGAGGGTAAGGACTGGACTCTGGAACATTTGAATTCCTCCACTAGTGAATAACACTGTAGTTTCTACCCAGTAGGTATGTTCTGGAGCTGGCTACCAAGAATGACGGCTACTGTGAAGGTGGCCCTCTTTCCTTGGGCAACATTTAACAATATTTTGACATCTTCCTGTTTTTTTGGTAACAGGATACTTCAGCACTGTCCCTGCACATATTACCCCTTGGACTTCTATTAATCTTGCTTTTCCTCTTCCGACTTCC